GATCTCTTATCTCTGTGACCAGTGACAGGACCTGAGGGAACAGCTGGACCTGTGTCAGGGGAGGGTTAGGTTGGATATCAGGAAAAGATTCTTCCCCCAGAGGGTGTTTGGGCACTGGAACCGGTTTGAGTTGGATATTAGACAAAGGCTCTTCTCCCAGAGGGTGTTTGGGCACTGGAACTGTTCCCCAGGGCAGTGATCACAGCCCCAAGCCTGACAGAGGTCAAGGAGTGTTTGGACAATACTTTCAGGCACATGGTGGATTTTTGGGGTGTCCTGTGCAGTGCCAGGAGTTGGACTAGATGATCCTCAAGGGCCCCTTCCAGCTCTGAATATTCTGTGATTCTGTGATTCTGCCAGAGTTCCTTGGGGCCAATGTCCCTCAGGGTGGGATCCTGGTGGCATGTCATCTCTGGATCTGCTGGACTCAGCAGTGATCTTGGTTTCCTCCCTCCAGAAATCTCCTCGAAGCCCCAGCGCCTGGAGCGGTACAAGGAGCTCATCCAGCGCCTGCCTCGCCTCAACCACAAGACCTTGGCTGCACTCATTGGCCACCTCTACCGGTCAGTGGTCCCCTGGTCCAGCCGTGGTCCCCAAGACGAGGCAGCATTGTGGGGTCTCTCTGCTTCTCAGGGAGTGCTGGCTTCCACCCAGGAAGAGCTCCATGGCCATGCCCTGCCCCACCAGTCCCCAGCTGGTGCTGGATCATGTTACTCTGGGACACCTTGAATGTTCCTTGCAGCAAGGGGGAATGACAGGAGATCTGGGACTAGGGGACATCCCCTGTAGGAAGCAAACTTCAGCCAGTGCCTGAAAAAGAGGGAAAACACTGAATTCCCATCCCTGACTCAGAGTGAGGTGGGGCTGCTGTCTGGTTTGATGGCAGCAGGAAGTCCTCGAAACAGAAACTGCCCAGCTTGAAGTTCCCATTTCTGGATTGTGTTTCAGGAGGGATTGTATGAGGCAGAGGAGGGTGGCCCCACACTTTCCAGAGTGGAACCAGCCCCTCACCTCTGCCCTCCTTGTCCCAGGGTACAGAAATGTGCAGACCTCAACCAGATGAGCACCAAGAACCTGTCACTGCTCTTTGCTCCCAGCCTTTTCCAGACCGATGGCAAAGGGGAGCATGAGGTCAAGGTGATGGAAGACCTCATCGACAACTATGTCAGCATCTTCAATGTAAGCAGGGGCCTGCCATCCCTCTCCATGATGGCTCTGTCCATCTCCCCTGGTATCCTCCCATACTGCCTTCCTCTGCCTCTCCCTGCGTCCCTCCATCCTGGCCCTGTGTCCTCAAGCCATATCCCACTTCACACTCACCCTGTGTGCCCTTCCTTTGGCAGATTGATGAGGACCAGGTATCCCAGATGGATCTGGAGAACAGCCTGATCACCACCTGGAAGGATACCCAGGTACTAGGGATGTGCTTGCTGGCCCCCACCACATCAGGGACCTGGTGGGACTACCTGGAAGGTGGTGGCACTCCCGGCTGCCCATCCTGCTGTCTCACAGCAGATACGTGGGGAAGGACCTTCCCCTACTTGTCTCCCCTTTGCCCATCACCTTGAGGCTCCTGCCCAGGGGAGAAGCACCCTAGGCCACCATCACCAGCCCTTGGGGAGATGGGATGTGCTCAGCACTCATGCCAGCATGGCACCAATTCCACCCACTCTCCCCCAGCTCTCACAGGCAGGAGACCTCATCATTGAGGTGTATCTGGAGCAGAAGCTGCCTGACTGCTGCGTCACCCTGAAGGTGAGTGCCAAAGGAGGGAGGTTCCAGGGAAAGGTTGGAGGGACACAGGCTCCTGGCACAGCCTGCCCCGGGACCCATCCTGCCACCACCCACTGCAGCTCCCTGTGTGTCTGGCCCCAGGTGTCCCCCACAATGACAGCGGAGGAGCTCACCAACCACGTGCTGGAGATGCGCAACGTGGCAGCCAGCCTGGACATCTGGCTCACCTTTGAGGTCCTGGAGAACGGCGAGCTGGGTGAGCACGGCACAGGGGGATGCTCCTGGCATGACTGGGCTGGGGAGGAAGAGGTGTTGGGTACAGGGGGTGGCTTTCTACTGGTAGCCAGGGACTGGCAGGGGGAAGGGGACACAACAGTGAGAGTGTTCCTGTGTCTTCAGAGCGGCCCCTGCACCCCAAGGAGAAGGTGCTGGAGCAAGCTCTGCAGTGGTGCAAGCTCCCAGAGCCCAGTGCTGCATACCTGCTGGTGAGGAAGGTCCCCATCGGTGAGGGCAGCTGTCTCTTCACAGGTAAGGCAATCCCAGCCCCTAGGGGTGTCCCCACATGGGGACAGCTCTGCCTGAGCTTCCCCTTGCCCTGCAGCCATCTGGGGCACAACCCCAAGACCCACAGTGGGACCCCCTGCAATACTCCCTCCAACCCTCCCAGTCTTCCTGACCCCCATCTCCCCCCACTGGGCAGGTGTGAAGCGTGAGACCCCCAAGTGTGGGCTGCTGAGGTGCCGGGAGGAGCCTCCCAAGCTGCTGGGGAACAAATTCCAGGAGCGCTACTTCGTCATCCGTGACCGCAGGCTCCTGCTGCTCAAAGAGAAGAGGGTACCCAGGGGATGCTGTGGGATGGATCTGCATCCCAAGGGTGGGAGGAGGGGCAGGGAGCCTGGGGGACAGTGGTAGCTGTCCTCCTGGCAGGGAGACTGGCAAGCTGGGTTAACCCGCTGGATCTTCTTCCCCAGAGTTCCAAGCCAGAGCGTGAGTGGCCCCTGGATGCAGCCAAGGTTTACATGGGCATTAGGAAGAAGCTGAAACCACCAGCCCAGTAAGTAGGACTTTCTCTGGCTGTGGCACTGGAGCATTCAGCCCTCAGTCCCTGCACCTGGCACACAAACCCTACCACTGGGAGCACACCAGGTTCCACTGGGACCCAAAGCTGTGACAAGCCTGGGCCTGTGGGGCTACTGGGCACAGACCCTGGGCTGTGTCTGAGCTTGGTGATGCTACCCCACAGCCTGTCTCTTCCTTTCCCAGGTGGGGTTTCACACTGACCCTGGACAAGCTGCAGCTGTGAGTATCTGCCCCTGCCATGCTGGGGCTGGGAGCATGTTAAGTTCTGTCCCCTGGGGCAGTGCTACAGGGCCCTGGTGTCAGGGCAGAGCTGGGCCACTCGAGAGACAGAGTGATGGGGCCCCATATTCCCTGGCACAAGGTGGGAGCCAGGATCCAGGGATGATCCATCTCCCTACCACACATATTCAGCACCTCCCCATCCACATGAGCACCCATGGTCGATGCTGGGTGCCCAACAAGCTCTCACCTTGCCCTGAAGTAGTGATTTTAGGTATGCAGAGAGTTTCAGAGGTGCAGCTCCATGGGGTTTAGCTGTCCCTGGTAGTCCCAGACTTGCAGACAAGGTGACAAGGGGACATGGGTCACACTGGCCCTGCTCCCTGGCAGCTTCTCTGTCTCTGCAGGTACCTGGTGTGCTCAGGGCAGGCTGAGCTGTGGGACTGGACCACCAGCATCCTCAAGGCTCAGGTGAGTGCAAGCTGAGCCATGGCCAGCTGGGCAGGGCTGGGATGGGAGGGGGCTGGCAGAGCAGCCTAGCCTGACCCCCCGTAACCATGGCATACCCATGCACAGCACGATGACCTGCGCCCTGTGATCATGCGCCGACGCTCCTCCTCCGACCTGGCCAAGCAGAAGTTTGGCACCATGCCACTGGTGCCCCTGCACGGGGACAGCACTGATGCCACCATGCTCTCTGCCAACCAGACCCTGGTAAAGCCCCCACAGCTCCTTCTGCCCTCCTCCTGCACCCACCCAGCATCCCAAGACCATGTGCCCACCCCAGGGCTGGGGAGGTGGGTGGTGTGTGTGTGTGTCCCTGTGCTTGGTGGTGTGTGTCCTGTGTGCTGTGCTCGTGTCCGTGCCAGCTCTCTGTGCCTGCAGACCCCACGTGGGGTGCTGCACCCACTGCCCCTCCTCTGCCTGCTGAGGGCCCCATGGCCCCACTTCATGCTCGTGCTTACCTGTGTCCGTCTCCTCTGTTTCCAGCGCCGCCTGCACACGCGACGGACTTTGTCCATGTTCTTTGTAAGTACCTGCACACATGTAGTGTTTCTGTTGCTGGCTTTGCACTGTGCCTGCTGCTTACAGCAGCCAGGGCTCACCTGCAGCATCCCACCTGCACTCAGAGATGTGCCCAGGCCATGCTGTGTGGCACAGGAGGGGGTGCATGTTGTTCTGTGTCTCCCATACCATGGGATGGAGGTCCCTGCATGGTATGGGCAAGCAAGACCACAACAAACCAGTCCAGTTCCCAGAGCCTCACCCATTGGGCACACATTGCCCAGGGGAATGCAAGGAAATAGGTTTGGGTCCTCCAGGTTGTTTTCTATAGAGGTCACCTGGCTGGACCTCACCTCCCCTGGCTTTGTGCTCTGCATGGGCATCCACCTACTCTCCCCACCCCAGACCACCTCTGCCAAGGGATGCCAGACTGGTGGCATGGACCATGCTCAACAGGAACCAAAACACTCCCCCCTCCATCAGTGTGGGGGAGGAAAGGGCAGCAGTGCCAGCACCAGAAGACCTGGTGTAGGGTGGGTGCCCTGCAGGTATCAGCCCCATGGCAAGGGGTAGTGCCTGAGTGCAGGGAGGGCAAGGTGAGGGGATACAAAGGGGTACAGCTGACTGGTGTAGACAGTGCCCCTCATCCTGCCCTCCTGCCCTCCCCAGCCCATGAAGATTCACCAGGACTCCCTGGAGGAGCAGCAAGAGAAGGAGGCAGACACAGATCCTGTGTACGAGGAGGTGGGGAACTTCCCCGAGCTGGTAGCGCTGGATCTGGGGCAGGGGCTGCTGGGAGAGCCGTGGACAGGTCCAAGAAGCCATCCCTGTTCCTTGAGCAGCCCCCAGCCACGGCACTGCGCTCCTCACTGCCTGCCAGCCCAGCCCAGAAGGTGACAAGTCCCTCTGTCACCAAAGCCCTGTCTCTGGAAAGGGGCTTGGACCTGGAGAGTGACACAGCTCCAAGCCAGGGGCTCAGACACACCAAAACAGCCTCTCTGGAGAGGAATGTGGAGCCTTCCCTGGTGCTGGGCAGGGACTGGGAACAGGCAGCTACACCAGGGAACAGTCCTGGTGCAGAGAGCTCCCTGGAGCTGCCCAGGAAGAGGAGTTTACAGCCTCTCTCACCCATCAACGACAAACTTATCCAGGAGCTCAGCAGTGTCATCCTCAGGAAGGGTGATGGACAGCCACCGGGGCCAGGACAGCCAGTGACATGACTCACAGTGCCAAAGGGGTGGCCACCAGCCTGGGCATCAAGTCACTCCTGGTGGCAGAGGTGATGGGCACCCCACGCTCCCACATCATGGAATCCACACCCTCCCCCTCCTGACTGGAGCCAAGCTGGGTGCAGGACTGGTGGGGACCAAGGGACTAGTGGAGACCAGGATGCTAAGCTGTGGTACCCCATCCTGGGGGTGCTGCCACATGTGCTCTCCCTCATAGGTGACACATCTGTCATCAGGCCCAGCACGAAGGGAAGCAAGAAGGAGAAAAAATACAAGTGGAAACGTGGTGCCTGCATGTCTTGGCAGCACATCATGGTGTCAGGGGAACATGCAGTGCTTGTCAGCATGGGGGGAACACAGCATGTCCCTTCTCCAGCACTGGGGCAGGAGCAGGGCACCCAAACCATCACACGCATTCCTTCTTGTATCTACTGTGGCATATTTTGGTGGCAAGGGACAAGAGGAGCAGGGCTGGCCATGTGTGCTCGGAGTGTGGTCCTGGCGATGGAGGACAGTCCCTGCTCAGGGAGGAGGTTTGTACCTGTTCCTGCCACCAGCAGGGAGAAATAAAGGTTTATTTGTACTCTGAAGGGTTTGCTTATTGCAGGAGGAAGAGGGAGGGGTGCCAGGGTCTGGCAGGAGGAGAGATTGAGGTGCCAGGCCCAAACATCCAGCTGGGACATCCATGGGATGGGGCAGTGCCAGCAGTGGAACTGCAAAACTGAGGCAAAGTCCTGGTGAACTTCAGATCCAAGTGGGATTTTCTGCCCAAGTCTATTGACAGCTGGGCACCATGCCACAGGATGTCTCTTCCCCAGGGCAGGGGGACACAGCCTGGCACCCCCTGGCCCTGTCTATGGCTCACTTCGCTCACTGGACCTCAGGGGCAAGTCTGTCTTCTCTGAGGACTTCCCCGAGGAGGTCTCAAGCCCTCTCAGGCAGCGACCTCCTGCATCCCGGACCCAGCTCCGAAAATCCTGGGAGATGTAGAAGTAGATGAAGGGATCAAAGCAGTTGTTGAAGGCACTGAGCACCAGAGCCAGGGCATACCAGATGTAGGTCATGTTGTGGCACCCCGTGGGCTCCAGCATGTAATGGATGAAGAGTAGCACATTGCTGGGGGTGAAGCAGACGATGAAGACCAGGAGGACCAGGGCCAGGACACGCACCACCTGCCCGTAGCATTTATCCTTGGCCAGCAGCCGTACCAGGATGCAGCTGTAGGAGATGGTCATGAGCACAAAAGGCAAGCCAAAGCCCAGCCCCACCAGGAAGAGGAAAAAGTAGCTCAAGAACTTGTGGGTTTCCTTTTCGAGGACATCATGGCATGTTGTAATGTTCAGGCTCAAGATATGATGTGTCTGGGAGTGCAAAAGCAGAGGGATCATGCCCAGCCCGACCACCAGCCAGATGGCTACACAGATGGCTCCCTTGCCCCTTGTCCAGCTGGAGCTCTTCCACAGGAATGGGTGTGCCACAGAGACGTAGCGCTCCAGGCCGATGCAGGTGAGGAAGAGGATGGAGCTGTACATGTTCCCATAGAAGAAGGCCATCATGGTGCGGCACAGGTAGTCCCCAAAGACCCAGTTGTTGCCCAGGAGGTGGTAGGAGATCTTGAAGGGCAGCAAGAGGACAAAGAGCAGGTCAGCAGCAGCCAGGTTGAGCAGGAAGAGGGTGCTGGAATACCTCTTGAAATTGGTGGCCAGGACCCAGCAGGCCAGAGCGTTGGCTGGCAGCCCCACGAGCAGCACCACGGAGTAGAGGGCAGGGAGGAGGTGAGTGCTGAGGCTGCTGGTGAGAAAAGCTTCCTCAGAGGCACTGGCACATATGTTTTTCTCCTGGGGAGTGAGGCGGATCAGGGTTCGCCCTTTGGTGCTAAATGCTGCAGAGAACACAACACATCAGGCTCAGCCAAAAGTTCCCTCCTACTGCCCCTTCCAACCTGGGACCTTCCAACCTGGGACAGCTCCTGCATGGAGCTGTCACCTCTCCCTGAAGATCCACCAGCAAACACAGGTGATGGAAACTCCTTGACCTACAGCAAGGGCAGCTCTGACACAGAGCCCCCAGCATCCTTCTGCCTTTGTCACAGAGCTGTGCCACATCCTGTGCCACCCACCACCACAGCAGTGCCAGCCCAGCTGAGGTCCCTGCCCACAGCCCAGATGGCCTTTGCTTCTCACACACCACTGTGGGCACACACAGCTCTGCTGATGTCCCTTGTTCTGCCAAGCTCAGCACAATGGGATCACAAAGGCAGATGTGAAACCCACACCAGCACGGGGTTGGGATATGCCCATGGGTGAGAGATGTCCCACCAGAGCTCCTGTCTCCTTCTCCTCCTCCTCCCAGCCCCCCCCCCCAGCCCCCTGCCATGGCCAGGGCAGCACACATGTCTCTCTGTAAGGGACAGAGGGGCCTCCCTGTGGTCACAGGCTTTTTGCTGCTTGCAAAGAACCAAAGAGAAGAAGAGGAAGGTCCTGAGACAGCACAACTCCGGATCAAATCCCTTTTCTGGCTTGTTCAAAAAACACAGCCAAGCCCTGCTCCCCTGCACAGCACCCCCAGCTCCAAATGCTCCATCCAGGTGGAACTTTCATTACATGCAAGAATTTTGCTTAACTTCTGCCACCTCTCCTAATCTAGGGATGGGAAATTATGAGAGCAGTGACATGAATTTCACTGCCAAAAGGAGAAAGTTTCAGGTCTTCACTGTGATTTTCAGTGCGGACACAAAGGGAAGGCAGAAGAGCACTCCAAGCTTTCTCCATGACACTCAGCTGTCACCTCCAAGTCACAGGACACAAATTAGTGTATTCCAGTGAGACTTCCCTGTCCTGTCCCACCACCCCGAGACCCACCAAGGCACTTACTTGAGGATGGTTGTGTGGCAGAGCCAAGCCAGGCGCAGCCAAGCAGGAGGGTGACACAAGCAGCAGCAGAGCTGGGTGATAGCACTGGCTGGGACATCTCTGCAGAGTGGTCTCTGTGCCTGCTAGGGCTGCACAAATGCCAGGGGCAGGACTGGCCCCGTGTGCGTCACCGCGGTGGGACAGGCACCAGCCCCCTCCCTGCTGCCACCTTCCTCTTTCCCCATCACGTCATGTCTGCATCCTGCCCACATCACTGTGGTGTGAATAGCTACACTGGAGCACAAGGTGACCAGCAGCTGTCACAACCACCAAATAGCCAGGGAACATCACTGGTGCTGGGGGGATTTCCATCCACAGCAAGTGACCACATGCGTGCAGAGGAGGAAGAAGCCGTGCGTCTCAGTTGAGAACCACAGTGCGAAGATGGAGCTGTCTGTGCCCCACATGTGGGACAGGAAGGAGGCAACTGGTTTCCAGCATGGTGACATGTGGCCCTGTCCCACTGCAGCACCCACAGGGCACAGGGCACCTTGTCAGCACAGCCCAGCCAGGACCAGGCACCTCAAGGGATCCATCACCCCAGTCGGGCTAAGAAGCCAATGTCACCCTATGAATGGGGTCAGCCTGTATTGTCTCACTCTGTTTTCCTCTTCCTGCCACCCAAGTAGGTTCTAGGTGGGCCTCTGGTGCCCCAGGACTCCATGTGTCACCACATCCTGAGACCTGTGCACTGTGTCTTCATGTACAAGGACTTGGGCCCCAGCATTCCCACTGCCCCGTGCCCCAGCACCTCCCATGTCCCCAGTTCCCTCCTGCAGCAGAGGGGACAAGAAGCTGACAGAGGGGACAACTGACTTGTGACACAGCCTCAGCCCAGCCTTCCACATCAACACACATGGGGGAACCAGGGCATGTGCAGCCACCCCCAAAAATGTCATGGAAAGAGCAAGAAGGGGACAAATGGGACAGTGGGATAGCCATGAGATCTGCAGGAACCACAGACAGAGAAAACTCAGGACAGAGAAGTGAGAGCTGAAGGGAATGGGAGGGGGACAGGAGTGGACAGAGGGACAGGGGACAGACAGGGCAAGGGCTGGCTGGGGAGCCCTCATGATTCCAGGTGCATCCCACCAAGTGCCACTGACCCATGGCAGGGTCCTGCCAAGCCAGGAGCTCCGTGTCCTCCATGTGACATAGGACCCCACATGTCCCTGTGCCTGGTGGCTGAGGCCTCACTGTCCCAGAGACCAGTGCCTCAGCACTCTACGTGTCACCACATCCTGGGACCAGTGCACTGTCTGTTTTCCTCTTCCTGCCACCCAAGTAGGTTCTAGGTGGGCCTCTGGTGCCCCAGGACTCCATGTGTCACCACATCCTGAGACCTGTGCACTGTGTCTTCATGTACAAGGACTTGGGCCCCAGCATTCCCACTGCCCCGTGCCCCAGCACTTCCCACGTCCTCATGTCTCCCTGCCCAAGGACATGAGCCCCAGTGCTCCCCATAACCCCATCTCCCTATGTCCCCATGTCCCTGTCTCCCATATCCCTGTCCCCCCATGTTACCAATGTCCCTGTCTCCCTATCTGTGTCCCCATGTCCCGCTGTCCCTACCTTCTTATCTTCCCATGTCCCCATGTCCCTTTTTCCCACCTCCCTGTGTCCCCATGTCCTTCTGCCTATGTCCCCGTGCCCCAATGTCCCCATCTCCTATGTCCC